TTTTATACCATCGAAATATTTTCAAAGATCAAAGTAATACTTTTGGTGTATTTATTTGGTGAGTTATCACACGTTCAGTAGTTTTCAACATACCGTATTATAGGGAGCGGGCGGGCTAATCATCCGATGAGCAAATTTAGTTTTAAACAATTTTCAAACCACAGTTGGCTGTACCAAGTTACTGTTTAGTATCGTAACTAGTTATGGCATTTTATAGACTTTTGATTAACGGCATTTTGGGGGCATGGCAATGTTCCGATTCTATCCATATGTTATACCAACAAGTTATGCTGATAGCAAATGCAAACACTGATCTCTGTAGTCCTAGTAGTTAGTTAAAATCCATCTACTTGTATGTTTAAATTTGATCTAATACCTTGTCCAAATAATTTCTTGTATTAGATCAGCGATCCTTCAGTGATTTCGTGTTTCTTCGGCGAAAAGTATGTTAGGTGTCGAATCCTCGAGATGGAAATTACATTAAAGCTAAAACGAGTCCTTTGTATGCTCTCGATTCCAGCTTGAAAGTTTATGCAAGAAATGATTGTTCTAAGCTTCTTTGACATGAAATATGGGTATTTATTCTAACAACTATCCATGTATATATAATATATATTATATATAATCTAAATCAAAATTACCACAGAACCCCCTTTAAATGCGCGAGTGCGCTTGAAGGTCGGCTTGTTTAAGCGCTTAAATTGTTGTGTAATCATCCTTACATACCTAAATATACAATGTTGTTATTGTTGTATTTGTTATTTTTTTTTTGTTTTTTCATGTTCTGAATTTGTTAAAATGAATTAATTACCATTTCACAGCTGATAAAAGAGCGCAATATGCGGCCTGTGTAACACGACCACCGTGCGGCATTACTGATAAACCTATTAATTACTCGCACGCATTCCCATACATACACACACACACTGGCGCGTAAAGACAATTACTTCACATGCAAAAATATTTCATAATTATTTAATTAAAAAGCGTTTATTTATATACAACACAGGAATGCCAACACAAACTTTCTTTTAATTATGTCCTATCTCGGTAATGGTATTTCATTTTTGCGGGATTTATTTTTCACACGCATACTTAAATGTTTGCGTTCAATAAATTAAATTTAATCATCAGGTGGCAGGTGAACTCTCAAAGGAGCATTCTCGTATTACCTGAAGTCTACTCTTTGATACTCCTGACTGTGAAATTGTTTACCGCTGCAAATCAAAGCATTTCTTTGTCAAATAAAAAAAACTTTGAAAGCTTTAATGCGTTATAAAATTGCTTTAAATTCAATTTGAATTACTTTGTATTTTGCCTTTAAATTAACCTTTAAAGGATGTGTTTGCAATCGCTACTAATTTTATTTTGAGTATTTGCCTTAACAGTTGATTTGACAGTTATCCCTCTAGGAAACTCACTACAGCTTTAAAAAACGTCTTTATACCATACATTAATTGCTCATCGAGTGGAATTTTCTTCTGAATTAAAAGCGCTGAAAGGTTTTATTAACTATTTTTATACATTTCGCAGACTTACAAAATTTCTAACATGTAGCAACATCCATATTTTCGATTTGGAATAATAATATCTTTAATAAATTTTTTTAAGCGTAAGTCCATTTTTTATAACCTAAATAGGTTTACCACGAAGTTTATAACACCCAGAAGGAACGTCGGAGACCCCATAAAAAAATATATATAAATGATGAGCCATGTCCGTTTGTTCGTCGGTCTATACGATTATACGCACGAACAAATTCCTTAGTTTTTGAGATTTCGATCTGAAATTTTGCACACATCCTTTTCTACCCAATAAGCTGTTTATTTGTGGAACCGCCAGTATCGAACTACTGTAGAATATACCTTTCACACAAACTGTCTGATCAAAATAAACCTCTGTTAAGTAAAACTTGAACCTGTGAACGGTATTATAGCGTCGGAGCAGTCGAACGTTTTTTCTTGTTTATGAAACTTTGATTGCAATAACTCACGTTCCCTTATATTTTGTTTGAACTTAAAATTGTTTTTACTGTTGGAATCCTTCCTACACATAGCAGTTTGATTTTAATTTTGACTAGTCCTTCGATGGTTACCTGTATTTAACCATAGCAATAATAATTTTTTTGATTTTTTGATTTGAGGTAATTTTAAGCAGAAAAATTTTCCTCAACTCGAGACACCTTTCTTCGGAGGTGCTCGTGGAAATCGGCTATGCGAACAAGGGAATCCAAATTTTGTCAAAACTAATCGCTGATTATTAAAGTACATTATATTTTCTAAATGTATGTTTTATTTATTTATTTTTTGAATAATATGCCTTAGCAAAATAAATGTACAAGAAAATGTTTTTTTTTCATACTTGCAACTGAAAATAACTCCTTTAACCATCCAAGCTTAGATGACCAACTATAAATGTTGACTAAGATCACAATATTAGCGGTCTATATATTGTACATACCTTGAGCATTAAGGTATTGCTCCGCGCCGCACTTTCGTTGTAATCGGTGGACTTTATAACCTCTCTAACTCTAAGGCCTAACTTTGAACACAGCGACATTTAATTCGTTTCTTACTTTTCCCATTATATGTTTTCGATTATATTAAAAAAATCGTTATTACGACTAAAAGGTGATAAGTTATCAGCTTACATTAAAGAGAGATCACTAGTGAAGATAACACTTGCCTAAAAAGTAATCTGCGTTAAATATTTTTCAAAGAAATTGTTCTCTAAATTTGAAATAATTACTTTAAAACTCAAAAAATTTGACACAAATATAATCTTTTTAGAAAACGCTAATTTTTCAAATATTTAAATTACCCCTCAACTGGTGAAACCTACCTACCTACGCCTTTGCAAAAAGTTATGAGTGCAATAATTCATTATTTCATCCTATAAAAATATTGATGAATTAATCTTCGAACACATTAAATTTTGTAATTAATGTAGAATGTAATATGTTTATTAAAATTTAATAAGCAATTACTGATATCATTCTGAAACATTAGACTCCAATTAGAGTACTCGTATTCCAATATGCGTCAGTATTTTACACACAATTTTAACATGCTTGGTGATATTCAAATGCTTCCAGTGTGCAGTGATTTAAATCATTATTAATTATAAACACGATTGTGTATTTGTTAGGTTTCAGTTTACGGTAACACATACATAATTAAAAGAATAACAACAAAGAAAAAAATTATTAAATGCAAAACATCAGTTTATCTTTCATTAACCAATTTACGAGTGAAATGTGAAAAATAAATTTTTGCTTATTAAATTGTGAATAAAATTCAAACTTAAGTGTTTGCATATGGGGTACATATAAATAGTTCTTCACTTTTTTATAAAACAGTTTGCTGCACATTTACGCACATAATTGGCCTTATATATCAGTGTATATAAATATCTACATATGAATATATATATAATATATCAGTATATATACATAAATATTTTTATGAAATTCATTACGTTGAAGATATGACTCGTATTTGCTTTAAACACATTTTTACACTAACCGAAAAAACATGAAAAAAAGTGTGCTACAAAAAAAATTGAAAGAAATATTTTTAACAATGTATTATATAACAAAAAACTACAAATACTGAGCTTATCATTTAGCGCGTAAATTTGTAATCAGAGATTTACCGTTAGTACAATGCTATATTTATTTTGTTGTTTATTATTGGCATAGATAATGGACTGGGAGTTCGTAATTTACTCGCGCGTTATAAATCATTTAATTTTATCTAAATTTACAGTTTAATATACAAAAAAACAAAACATTTAACATATTTATCTTTTGAAATACAACACTGTATTTATGTGGTTTCTTTTTTATACACGTTTCTTTTTAATTTTTAGCTTTTAACAATAGCTTCGCGCAACGTAATGTGAGGAGCAACTGAATTTAGGTCATATGACTAGCATGACTAGGTCTTTTGAAGGTCATGTTATTATTTATCCAATCAGTTCACTTCTTTGATAAATCTATGTAATTTAATTTGACTCAATCATTCCGTAAATCATTGTAATACTCCAAAAAATATATATAATGTTATATATATCCTGAGTACAATATACAACATATTAATACCTAGAAGCCAAATGTATTGAGATTGAAAAGTTAGTTCGTTACACAGACAAAGCGAAATCTTTGCAAAAAACTTTTAAAACATCTGCTTTTTGAATGTCGCCATCTCCATTACCTCTGGGTCTGTATCTTTTAACTAACCCATTTACGATTTTTTTTGAGCCGAACACGACAGAACAGTTTATTCCTTATATAATATTTATCATTAGAGGAACTCAACTATAATACCAGTAAGATTCTTCTGAACTCGACCGGACTAATATAATATAAATATAATAAGTTGAACTCAAAAGAGGCTTGTGAAAAGTGGCTGTCCGAATTCTTTGCAAATAAGGAGGGGGCTTCTACGAGGAAGGTATTATGAAGTTGCCGTCTAGATGGAAACAGATCATCGAACAAAACGGCGCATATTTTAACTAAATCTGATCACTGTAACACTTTTTATAAAGCATTGAATGAAGAGCAAAAAAGCGGAAGGGAGATATATGACAACCTTATATTAGTATTTTCTACTTCTGTCTTAAAAGTTATTATTGAAAAAATCTATTAAAGGTATCGCTGGTATAATTTCAAGACGTTAACTACGAATTATAGAAGAAACACGTTAAAAACTATCGATGTGCAATGTGAAATGGTGGAAGAAATTATTAAAGCTCTATTAGGTTAACATTCATTAAGAGCTCTAGAACGAAAAAGTTTTCTAACAGAGCAACAGAGTTCTATAACCTACAAATCATATATTTTACTTTACATATATTAACTAACCATAGTTTTTATAATATTCTCCATTTTCTTTCATGACCTGGTCTTTCAACTATTAAATGGCTGCGTTCACACTTGATTGCCTCTCTACACCAACTGTTACACTGGAATGGCTAATACATGGCTTCGCCTATTGTAGCCGGAACGCATACGTCAACGTGACAGTCGCAACAAAAACGCACTACACTATTGTGCCGCGCAAAACGCAGAGACACGTGAACTCGTGGCGGCTGCCAGCATCGCCGTCGCAGCTCCAGAGTTGCTGGAGTCTGCCGACGAGGATGGCTTTACGCCGCTTCACTTGGCTGTTATTCAGGGCAACTTGGCGATGGTCAATTTGCTGCTGGCGAATAAAGCCGACGTGAATGCGGTCGATAACGAGGGCCACTCTGTGGTGCATTGGGCGACGGGTAAGTAGCCAGCTCTAATGGCAAATGTCAATGGACTGACAACGACATTTCACACCAATATATGGTGTGCAGACTGCATGTGTGAAGCCACAATCGAAATCGCACGCACAGACACACACATGCGGCTACAAAGGCGATAAACCATTGTTTCATTACAGTTTGCGGTGAAGTGGAGGCTTTACGTTCGGTGCTGGCGGCTGGTGCGAATATTGCGATTCCCGATTTGAACGGTGGCACGCCACTACATTATGCGGCGCAGATGTGTGGCGCCAGTGTTGACAACAAAGTGGGTCAGGCTAATGCCACTAAGCTGGCGTTGGAGATACTCGGCATTCTGCTAACTCACCCGCATTCCAGTGTTGACGTACAGGACAAAGACGGACGTCAGCCCTTATTATGGGCCGCCTCGGCGGGTTCCGCGAAGGCTGTCATTGCTCTGGTGAAGGCTAGTGCACGTGTTGAAAGTGCAGATAAGTACGTTGCCAAACTTTTTTATTTTTTTTTTTAAAGTTATTAACTAATTTTGTGCTTGTAATTTCTAGAGATGGCTTGACGGCGCTACATTGCGCGGCCTCACGTGGGCACACCGAATGCCTTGACACTTTGATAAGTCTTTGTGGCGCCCCAACAGACCTGATTGATTCGAACGGCTGTACGGCACTGCATTACGCCGTGACACTAGGACATGCAGATGCCACCGCACGTTTGCTCGATTTAGAAGCTGATCCGAATCGACAAGACCGCAAGGGACGCACACCGGCGCACTGTGGCTGTGCGAAGGGCCAATTCGAAACGGTTAAACTGCTGAAGGAGCGTGGCGCTAATTTATGGTTGCGCAATGCTAAAGGCGACTTACCGGTGCATGAAGCAAGCTCATCGGGCAGACGTGAGCTCGTCGAGTGGCTGTTGGAACAGCGACCCAAGCAGGTTAATACCACAAGTAATGACGGACGCAGTCTCCTACATATTGCTGCGAGTAATGATTACACCGATGTGTGTAAAAGGCTGCTGGACTATGGTGGCGATATCAATGCCATATATCGCAGCAGCAAAGGGATGGTCTTCACACCACTCGACAGCGCATTGCAAAAGGGCCATCGCGCAACTGCCAAATTTCTGCAGTCGCATGGCGGTTTGCCAGCGAGTAAACTGCGCTTGGCAGCACGACGGTCGAATCCATTTAACGAGGTTAGCAGCGATATGGTGCGTCCGTTGCGATATGTGGAAAAAGAAGAGCTGCATGATTTACAAAATTCCAAAAAATATGTTGTCTACCTGAAACACTCGGACTCGGATGGTGCTGGTGGCGAGGGCGATAGCAACTGTAGCTGCCACGAACAAACTTATCGCAGAGAACAAAAGTTTGCGCACACATGTCGGCGTCATCAGCACAATCGTCGGCGGCAAAGTCGACGACGCACCAGCAGTTGTGGTGAGCCGAAAGATTGTCACCATCATGATAGCGGGGAAGTTGATATTTGTCGATCTAAAAGTAATATTGAGATAAGGCGTCGAAAATCACGCGAACGTTATACTAGCTCAAGCGAATGGGAGGATAAAGCCGACGAAGACAATGACGACGACGAAGATTCTTGTGAGAATTGTTGCTATCACAAGCGGCAAAAACAACGTGTTATACGAAGGAAGTCCATAACATCACGTCGTTCGAAAGAGCGCGATGGACGAGAACGTGGCAGTGAAAAAGAGTCATCACCGGAGAAAAGTAAAGTAAGAGAGGTTGAAGTGGTACGAGAACGCGAGGAAAATGCGCCAGAAACGAAGACGGAATCAGCAACACAGCCGAGTGATGGTAAAGAAGAGGATAAAGAAAGGGATAGCCGTCCACAATCGGCTACTATGCGCTCAGCAGCAAATACGCCGGGTATCACAGCAAAGGAAGCAACATTTATTAAGTCCACGGATCAAACTGAAACACAATCTATGGAGTTGACGGATGAAGATGATAAACTAGCAGCTGAGCTAGTAACTACACAAGTAGATGTGCATCATGAAGCAGACCCTGCTCCTATGCAGCCGCAAATAGAGCCCGCAGAAAAGACACAAACTGAGGAGGTTCATGATGAGTCGGAAGATATGACCACGTTGGCAGATGAGATGAGAAAAGAAGTGGATCAAGTGATGAAAATAGCTGCGTTGGCACTTGAAAGCGATGCGACGAATGATGAAAATAGCAAACAGATTGAAGAGCAAAATGGAAGGCCGGTGGATGCGGATGATAAAGAATTTACAGAAGAAGCAGCGGACACCGCGGAAACCAATGTTATGAAAGTTGATGCACTATCTACCGCACAACCTGATCAAGCCACAAAAATTGTACCTAATTTAACGGAAACTCCAGCAACGCCAATACCAACACCATTGCCAAGTCCCATACCTGTAGCAACAGCTGAAGAGCCACCTATTTCAGCTGCTGCGACCACTACGCCAACTCAAACTGCTGATCCACCGTCCAAAGTTGTTGAAACCAAGTCATCGGAAGCTTCAGATGCACCAGATGACACTGCAGCGGTAGCGACAGCTCCAATTCAAAACAATGACTCATCTGATGTAGCAGAAACTCCTAAAATCACCCCAACTGCTGCAGTTACTTCCGAAGAAAAGCCCGCCGCAGAACCAAGCTCACTTCCGTCTAACACTACTTCCGCTCAGCAGTCGCCAAAAATCGAAGCACAAAAACTGCCGCATGAACAAGAACCCCGGCGATCATTTACCTTATTGCCATCTGATTCAGCCGAAGATGACGGCACCGAAGAAGTCGTGCGCAAATCAAGCTTCCAAATTTTGAAAAGTGATGATTCCGGTGGCGAAAGTGCGCGACATCCAGATGAGCTTGAACTCAGCGATACGCAAGTCTTCAAAATTGTTTCCGAACCACAAATGCGCTTGGGTAAGCCATACCCGGAAACGGAAGCAAGCTCAGTGGACGACGAACATAGACAAGCTGTTGCCATCGATTATGAACAAGATGATGATCATATAAATGAGGAGTACGATAACGATGAGCATAAGAAAAGTAAAGCAGGTGTGCTTAACCGTCATGTCGTGGGAAACGCCGAGGGTCCATTGCCCAACAGCGCTGTTCTCGGCGTCTACGATTATTCGAACGGACGTAAACGTCGTTTAAAAAAGCGAGTGCGTAGTGGCCCAAAAACGCGTAGTAATTGGAAAACTAAGGCAGATATTACGGATGGAGATGACGAGCAGACGGGCAGCTATGCGCACGCTACACAATCCAGCAAAGATCACGATTCCGGTTTCGAGCCAAGTCCACGTGCTTCAAAGAGTAAAATACCGACACCGCGCAATATATACACGGCACATGTGCCGCGACGTCACATCTACGCCACGCTCGATGGTCGCTCGTGCAGCAGCCGTGTGGAGGGGCGCAAGCCCGGCGATCGCGGTACTTGCGATATGTCAGCAGTAACGCGCTCCATACAACGCAACATCCGAAGGTAAATAAATTTATGTTTGACTTGGCGGTTGCTCTTGTTTTTCCAGTTGTTGTTGCAAGCAATAAAAATGTTATTTGCACCGATTTGAGTGATTCCAAGAATGTCTTCATTTTCGGCGACTCATGACGTCCAACTCCATTGGTTCAACAAAGGCGAGCACGCCCGAAGCGCAACAGCGTCCTGTAATTGAGTGTTCACAACAGTGTCTTTTGGTGCGTGTTGCCTGCGGCAGCGGTAGTAACTTTCGTTACATTTGCTTAATTTATGAGCTGACGTAAATTCTCGCCCACCTTACGATTGGACGGTGTTTGTATGCGCATAAAATTCCACTCCTTCCACGCGCCGGTCATTCGCCGCTGCGATATACATATGTAAAACCGTCTGTGAGTTTTTCAATCAACATAGACCAGGTGCTCCACGCCAGCAGATGCTTCCGCAATTGCGGATGCATATTTATATGCGCCTATGTGTGTTCATCTGTGTGTGTGTGTGTATGTGCGGTGTTATTTATAATCAACTTTGAAATTTCATTCCTTTCTAACATCATTCCCCCACACACCTTGTGCCCGTTTTTATTACTGTGTAGTAGAAGATTTATGTTGAATTTCAGAGTGGCTCCTGTCCGCAGAGGCACTGTGCGCTCGCACACACAAACAAATACATAATTATGTACCGTTACATTGTTAAATAATCTTCCTGGGTGCGCGTATTATGCTTCCGGCTACAATTACCTGCCGAGACGCCGCCTATAAATATTTGCATATACTTACATACATTGGAGTACATAGCTACTCGACCTCTGAACTGCGCCAGCCTACCTGTGAGTGCTTGTACGCTCGTTCGTCCAGCAGAATTAAAATAAATTTAGTTAAAATTAAATGACTCGCCATCATTTTTCATTTTTGATTGTCAATTTTTATTTACCGGAGTTCATCGTCTGCCGGAAAATGAACGAAAATACGTAGTAGTATATACATACACATATATTAGGGCGATTCTAAAATATGGTTAATGTTAGTGTAATGTTACAATCAAACGTGTACACTTCTATATATTATTAGATTTCAAACGCTTGCTTCATAATTTACTAAAATTTCTCTTTCCATTTATCTGGTATGGTGTCCGATGCTTATAACCTTCTTAAACTGGAATCTGAATATACTTGGCGCTTTAACTGACATTAGAAAATTAAAATTTGTATTGCCTCGAAACGCGAACTGGGTCTAATATGGTGATAATGGTGGTGTGCGGCTCCAGCAACTACTTTACGGTTGCTCCAAAAGTATCAGATTAATACGTCGGTCCCGATTAGTAGGTCGCTTTTAAAATTTAGATCAAAATGTATTTGTGTCTTCGTTTATACTTATATCGGTTATTAAACTTTACCAAGAAAACGTTCTTACTCCAAAGCGACGTCAAAAAAAAAAATATATATATATATATGATCATTTAAGCTATACAGTTTGAGGGCATGTTACTCAAGAAAATTAAATATGTTTTTTCGATTTTTTATGAACCACCCTGGTGTATACCTACTCAATTGACTTCACCTGTTTAAGTGTCTTTGGCTGCTGATGTTGTTGGCTTAAAGGTGAGAATTTAAGTACCTTTTAATGTGGTTCCCTTGCAATCAAAGTGGCATTCATGGTATTTTTGATGGGATTTTCTGGTGGGCATTTTTTGGTAAAAGTAACAGAGGGTACATTTAAATGTTAATTTGTAGGGCAATGTTTGGGATAGTAAAATAATTTACGGAAGCGTCTTCAGTGTTAATCATAATGGTAAGTGGTTTTGGTGAAATAGAAAATTTGTTTTTAATACTTTTAATTTTTTTTATCCTTTTGTTTTTTTTTGTTTTTGTTTTTTGTTAAATTAAGTAGATGAAACGTAGTCTAGTTTCAAAATTATTTAAAAAAAAAGTTAGAAATATACTTTATTCCACCAGATCCAAAGTACCATAATGATTTATCAATTTTTTTAAATCGACTTACCTTATAACGATTTTATTTGATTTCATTCCGAAATAATTGAATTACTACCTGCCGAGTCTAGCCCTGACAGTAATATCTCTGCTCACTACTCTCGAGAAACTGAAAAGCTGATGAGCTTGCTGGGTCAGATTCTTCAGTGTCACTAGCTGCAGAATGGGAACGGGTAGAGCTTCTACCTCCTCCCCTGACTTCTTGTGGTTCATTACTGAATGGTTGGGTCTTAGGTGAGCTCGGCAAATGCTGGACAGATACTAGCAACTGTGGCCCGCAACAGTGGTCCGCAACTGTACATCCAAGGTTCTTCAAGAGCACAAGGTTCTCAATTATACCGGTTGCCATTTGTATTAGCTGCTTGGAAGAAGATGGTGAGTTAGAATCGTCTCAATACTTCCAGAAGTTCTCTTAGGCTTAGCTGTAATTTGCCGAATTTTTACTAAGAATGAGCTTACAATCGAATCTTCAAACATCAATAAGTACCATCGAGTAAAATTTGATGGACTTGTAAAAAATATTGCATTTATTTTATTACTACTCTTAATGGTCGCTTTCAAAATAGGCAAAATAGGCCAAGCATACGTTAAATTCAATTTTTCAACGCTTGTAATAAGCCTCGGCTAGGTGTTCAGCGAATATTGTTTTACCTTGAACAGGGTATATTAAGTTTGCCATGATGTTGGTAACATCCAAAAGGAAACGTCGGAGACCCTATAAAGTATATATATATATAACTGATCAGCGTGACGAGCTGAGTCGATTTAACCATGTCCGTCTGATAGGTATATAGGTGAACTAGTCGCTCAGTGTCTGAGAGATTGATCTGAAATTTTGTAGACGTCCTTTTCTCACCAAGAAGCTGCTCCTTTGTCGGAACCGCCGATATCGGATCACTATAGCATATGGTTGCCATACAAACTGAACGATCGGAGTAAAGAACTTTTCAGGTCAGATCAGGTCAGGTTTTAGATTTTTAAGGGCTCGTTGCTCTTTTTTTCCATGGTAAAAATCTGCCTTCACACACTAATTGACATATTAAGATCAAGCAGCACGTAAACATAAAAAAGGTGTACTAATCTAGAAAAAAAATTTTATTGATTCGGTTTGCGCGCACAGTTTAATTGGACCAGTTCGAGTCATGTTTGTATAATCGATTACTCAACATCAATAAAAAATATCGGAAGTTTTAAGGCAGAGTTACGGGTATGCGGTTATACTCTTCTAAGAATTACAAAAATGGCGGAATGGCCTTTCTTGTAATCCGGAAATTTCATTATTTTGGCTCAATATTAGCTGATTTTACTGTTTTTATCAAAAATTGTTAATAAGTTGTTAGTTGTTTTCTGTTATTTATTTATGTTAATCGGCAACTTTATTTTCTTTATGCACTTAAGTCTGCTAAGTCTAAGTCGCTGCTGCTTATTTCAGCCGCCTTGTTTCGCAGCAGCTTTATACAGCTGAGTCTCCACACACACATCTGCACTTTATTTGCAGCAAGTTTCGCGTTGACAAAGAGATAAACAGCCGTTATGCGCACATTATAAAATCTTCAATGCGCCTCTTAATGCGTGTTGTTTGTATAATTACCGCTGTTTGTAATAAAAACAATACAACTAATGTGCAACAACAACAAATCAACAAATGAACAATAGCAATTCAGACAGCGATTGCGGGGAAAAACAACAGCAACAGCAGCAGCAACAACAACAATTTAAACTTGTCTAATAGTCACTTATTAGTTGACAGTGGCAAAGTGGGAGCGTGTGTGTGTGAGTGTTTGTTGGCATGTTGCATGTCGCTGCCGCAAGTCACTTGTAAGTCTATGAATAAGTGTGTATTTACCGCTTAGTCCTTGTAACTGTAAAATATATAAACGCATTGCTGGTGCCACCTTCAGCCTCGTGTCAGCAGGGCTGTAGTTGTTGATGTTGTTGCTGTTGCCATTGTTGTTACTGCTCACTATTTGCATTTGTGCTAATGCCAATTGTAAGCAGAATTAACAAGGATTTAATTTTGTTAAGATGTTTTCACCCCGCCGCGCCGCTCTAACCGCCACTCTTTGTCGCTCTATTGCGTGAGTGTGCTTGTGTGCCTGTGTGTATGTCGGCTTGTTGTTATTAGCGCCGCTCAGCCATTTGCTCGCTGCCTCACCCACGTCATATCGTGTTTTGTGTTTATCGCCACTTTGCCGATTCAGCAGTTGTTGACTGTGTGTGTGTTGTTGTTGTTGTCGGCTAACATCGCACGGATCTAAATTAAACGCATACGCCGCAGCACAAGCCGCAGGTCTTCATGCTCACAGTAAACTTTTAATTCCCGTAAAATACTTTAAACTTGTCGCATCGAACCCTCACCATCCCCCGACCCTTCGGTCCCCTCGTCCCTTATAGATGTCGCGACGTTAACCGGTATCGGTTGCGTTCAACCGCACGCCCGCATCTTGTCGCCGCACTTCGTTTAGTCCTATGCGAATATCTGATATTAACAACAATGTTCTCCCGCTCTCCCGCTGTCGCGCTCTAGCGCTCTCACATTAAGCGTCTAAAAAGCGAATCAACAGCTCTGAATATGAAGCGTTTATTTACACTATTTTCCGTTGTTTTTGATGTCTAAGTAAGCGGATTAATTTAATTACATTCAACAAATTATAACAGTACACTTGCAACAAAATGTTGCTATTTGCGCTCACAGTTATTGTTGTGTGTTTATGTTCAAGGGTGTACGCTTGTGTTGGTTGCGTTACCCCCCACTGTCCTACACCCGTGTATATCATCTTTACACTCGCCAGTATCAAAGTAATGAGCGCGTAATTAAAGCTTAGTTGGTGGAGTTGCACTGATAGTTCTAAACTACCGTTACTTACTTTGGAAGTTCATAAAGTGAATTGTCGCACAGATCAAAATAAAACTTTTTCCACTTTTGTAGTAAACTTTTAGTAAAGATATCTAGAATAAGGGTTGCTATTTCGGTACATCACTTTTCATTGCTACTGTAGTGTTAACAAATCTCATTCGATTTGAATCATTTTCAAATTTTGAATATGATAAAACTTGAATAAAATAAAATAGTTTTTTGTAAGTAAAAGTCGCTACAGACTTTTCTCTAATAATATATGAAAAAATTTATTCGATTTCTTAGAATTAGATTGAAGATAAGTTTCCTTTTGATAGTCCTCAGGCTATACTATATATAGAAGCGGACTAGCGAAAATGTTTGAGTCTTGTGGGGTGTGTGAAACGTTATAGTGTTGTTCCAGCAGGCCGATCTGTGATCAAATTTTATATTGCTGCCTCTAAAAGATCGGTTACTAATGTTTTCAGATTAAAGTTTGCAAACTCTGTTTTCTCATATTTTAATTTCGGTTTCGCTCTATTTCTCTACTGTCATTATTTTCCTATCTTTTTCTCACTCGGCTTCTTTCATCTCTCTGTGCTTATCTCTCTCTTCCTCTCTCTCTATCTCAGTGCAATTTCATTTCTTCTGCCTTATCTAAGCAGCTACTTTTATTGAATTTCAAAAGTTTTTGCTTTAGCTCTCCCCTTAGCACGTTATTGGTTTGTGTCAACGAAATCAACTACTTCAAGAATTGCCAGTCAAGAGAAGATACCCGCTGAAATGTCAGAAAGTAAATAAGTCCATAATCAATTTGAGCACATATTCGAAGAACACATTGACTACTCCTAGGAATAAACTAAAATATATGCAAGAAAAATTCAAAATTGTAACGTGCAACCAAATCATTGCCATTTGTTGTCACATAAGCCGCAGCAAAGCACTAGGAAATGCGCACCACTCAAAGAAAAGACAATCGAAAGAAAATATAAATATTCCATCGCCACTAAGCCGCCAATCGCGGCATTCAGAATTGCCAACCAGTGGCAACAAGCAGCGGAAAAACGAATTTTTAAGTACGCAAATGCTAAAGAGGCAAAAACCGGGTCCCCGCATAGCTTACTCGGCAATTACCGCTGACCCTATGATACAGCAGCGTGCTACAAAAACAGCAGCAAATCAGCGTAGCTTTTTAACTTTTCCTAACAACCAGTCATGTTTGGGTCAACTGTAGCCGGTGGTGGAGCGGAATCCACAACTGTAATCTTAAATACCCACTTCACCTTTATCTTCGTACGAATGGCCTTTTAAGTGCTTTTAACGATTTCCCAACGGCAACTTTACCTGCCAAGCGAAGGTGAATATCGAGCCGAATTGTGTGGGCGTCCGAATGCCGTTCGTTGCCATGGCGTGCTCACTAGCGGTTAAGTCATAAAAGAATGCGCGGCAGCGTTTTTGCCGCATTGCTAGTTTGTGTTGCAATTTTCGGTTTTGCCGTGTTGGCTATTTATCAGCACAAGCGGCGTGCGCTTTGCCGCCGCTCCCCTCAGCTAACACTCACTATTTAGCCACTCGCAAGGATCAACAGTTTTCACTATTCACTTTTGCTTGCGTTGCTTTGAATTTCATTCGTCAACTACTCATTTGCTTTTTTATTGTTGCTGCTCAATATGTTTTTTTTTTTTGTTTGTGAGCTTTATGTTGGCCTTGGCATAAATATTTCGTGCGATTTTCATTTATTTCCCTACCCTTTCCACCGCGTGCTTTGCTCTCTTACGGTGAATTGCAGATTTGAGCTTTTTGTCTCCATTGACATGCCTGCGGCTGTTCGAGTGCGCTGTGTAGCTATGCGGCTGTGCTGGAGCCGTGCAGTACTGCGACACCTCCACTTAGTGATACAAATTTGACAAGTACAACGTGTTGCTGTGCACCTTGCAACAAATGTCGCGTAAACAATGGCGAAAGAAATTCTAGCGAAAATATGCGAAAATGTGAAACCAACCAACTTGAGAACCCAGGAAAGAACAACGATGCTAGAAATAGTTGCAGCGCGACGCCAACGGCGTCAACTAAGCAAGGCAATGGGTTTTTTTCTAACTTTTGCTCACTTTGACCAATTTGGACGTCTCTTTCTGCTCGGGAAGTGTGGTTGGAGTGACAAGCTCTTAATAGTCATCATTTTTCTAAGTGAGTTTGCACAATTACATGCACAGTGGCCGCACTGGAATTGCAGGCAAATGCCGTGCAACGAAATATGCTATTTTGTGGCGTAAATGGACGGAGCGTTAAAAGGATTTGTGTACCGAGATATCGCTGAAAACTTAAAAAATGAAAGCTTAGCGAGAGAAATTTACCTTCCATTCTGTTTGCCCTACATTCCGGACACTAATCATATGGAAGTTTGCTAGCTGCGAGCTTAATGAGCCATAGTGCGTTTAGATTCCGTCCATTGGCAAAATTTGCAACTTTTGAAAGTTATTCAAATTCGAATAACATTTCCGACGGGAAAACCCTACTGCTTCTTTAAAACACAGTAGCCAGTAGGTTACAATGCATAATTCGCTTTCAATCTCTTCTCTTCAATATACTAAAATTGTATCTGCACAAAGTCGAAAAATTGATATCTGAGAAATCCAACACAATTCTGGAATTCATGGGATTCTATGGGAGCCGAAAGTCGAAACAAGCACAATGAAGTTGGGAGCCGAAATAGACGGTTTACTTGCACTGGATTCGATAGAACCCAGAAAATGCATATCGCTGATATAATTTGCATATTTAACTTTAATTTACAATTAAAATTATAAAATAAACAGAATTTGTTCCCAACTTTATGCGACACAGAGCAGTAACAGGTGGATTGAAAAGATCGTGATGATAAAAAAACACTATTATAATGATTTTAAACTTTTCCAGCAACCAATACTTTGAAGTCTAAATCACGGAAAATGTCTCTATTGGCCAGATCCGAACAATATAGTGGATAGAGGAACAGTTGAAAATGTTTATAAATTTTCTTGATCATTTTCATTGATTTGTAACTCGGGAAATCGCTCCACTTTCCAAAAAGCTTTCGGATACCGATTCAATTTATATATATCTCTGAAAGTTTTTCTGTATAACTCTCTCTTGTACGTCCCTTGCATTTACCGTCTTCAGTGCTGATATGAGCTATACGAAATGCGTCAAACCACTTATGAGTGAATGGCGTTATAATGAAAGAAGTAAATAAAAAAGAAAATGTCCTTAAAGAAAAATGTATGTAATGCGACAAGTGTCCGTAGAGTTTATATATTACTTAGATGCGTTTATAGGAGAAGTAAAAGAATAGTATTAGTCTCATATGAATTTCACATCAAATATATCGTTAAAAAAATAGTCAGTTCCCACAACAATAGGTTCTACATAACCGAAACGTACTCGGCTTTTATATAGCCAACGACTCTTAACACAGCAGAATTCGTGACGATAGTTTGAAAGTATTGTATTTGTATTGTGCGGCAACAGCAAATGCGTTGAAAACAAGCTAAATATTATTTCCATCTTTTATCGTGAGAATATTTTTCAGAGCCGTTTTTGTGCTTAACATTTTGGTGCGCATCTTTCTTGAAGTTGTTATTGTTGAAATAACCATTTTAAACAGCACAATATTTGTCTACCTTGGCCGTTACAAGCCCTCAACTGCGCACTATCTTATACGACATTAAAACTAATAAATTATGCCTCCAGACCTTATCTGCCATTTTGTGATGTTTTTTGTCGGCAATTTCTACATTCTTTTGCATTTGACGAATTGACGCAGACATTTGAAAGCTAAATGAGCGAGTTTAACAAAGCAGAGTGTTGAAGAAAGTTGGTTGGAGAGTGCGTGCAAAGAGAGGGGAACGCGCAAAATGCCTTGCGGTCGAAAATTGACAATTCACTTCGTCATTCGTTTGAGTTTTGCATACTGTGCCAGCCCCTCCTTTAAAATCTCTACTTTAGTATGTTTTCCTTCACAACCGTTATGGCTTAAGTCTTTGAAGAGTTGGCTTTTAGCAGCAAGTCCTTTTGAAGCGCAAACAAACAAAATATCAGGCAGCAAGGCACACTCCCTCATTTCGCACGTCAAATGCAATACAACTCGCCTCAGTCAAATAAAATGCGAATAAGAGAAAGTGACAGCAACAACAAAAACAACCACCTTAGTGAGCCGAATCGTGGAAGAACAGCGGCAGTTTGGTAGCCGTTCGCTATTGCCTCTATTGGCTTTGGCATTTTTATGAACTTTTTTCAAAACCCTCCTTCCTCTCTCACACTTACACATGCACACACATACCTCTTTCTACAAATCAGCAGATGCTGAATGCTAGTCAGTATTTTGGTGGCGCTTTGATTTACTTATTTATGGCTTTCTTTATGCGTATGTGTGTGTGTGGCTTGGTGTTCGCTCCCTCTGTGCTTGCACAGTTTTATCACCTTACGTTTTGCTGTCTATCGCAGGTATTACATGGAGCGCAAGATCTTTCAACACCTGCTGGAATTGAAGTCCCTGCAAATACGCTCCACCAAATTGAACGAAGCTGTGCTGGTGAAGCGCGCCGTTGACGATTACCACAAATCATGTGCAACTCTGGGTGGTGAGACGGGCACACGCTTGCGGCGCTATCCATTCAGCGAGTACACATTCAAAAATTTCGAGTTGTTCCTCTACGAGACACTGAAGGCACTCCAAAAGCCGGGCACCTATAATTTCCAGAACATCAACGAGGTTTACGAGGAGGTAAGCATTTACATGCAAATACAATACATATAAATGTATATGCATTTGTGTTTGTGTCTATATTATGATTGACATGTGTTGAAAGTGAGCTTCCGGCTGAAAGTTATTGAAAATTATGCATACTTTATATGCATAGCACTCGAAGCGGCGCGAAAAATGGAGTGCGAAATGTAATAAATTAAATTTTTATTTGCATACTTTTAGGCGGAACGCCGTTTGAGTCCCGACTACAACGCTTACGAGAAGGCGCTCCAGTGCACCACCAAGACCCACCGCTGCCTGCATGCTGCCCACGCCTACACTGGCATACCGTGCGCCGCTTACAGTGAGTATTTTGCCTCATAGTCGCAAGTATGCAAATGAATGTATATATATAAATATGTGTGTTTGTGTGCGTGTGTTGTGCATACTTGCTGTGGTATTTGAGTACTGTGCTGAGGGCTTTATTGGCTGTAAAATCGAATGGCAAATTCGTATTAATCTAAAACTAAAGGGTTGCCAGCTGGTCGATTCACCGCGCGTAATGTGAAACTTCTCTTCCCTAGATATTTATGTATTTGACGGCATATTTGCTGTTGATTACAAGCTGTCAATACTTGTTTAAGCACAGAAATAATTTATTTGCCTTTCTCTTAATAATTAGAGGGGAAGCATTGGTATAATTTTCACACGCTTTCCTCTCAATTAGAAAAATTATTAGAATCAGAGGGAATAAGTGCCAGTCTTAATAGCACACAAGGTGAGAAATTTAAGAACAATTTTCTTCACTTGTTTCTGAGTGCTTGACAAGATTTAATAGATGGACCTAATTGAGATATGAGTCTACCATCAGCCACTTGAGAGGCACTCTAACTTGCCACGGCAATACGTATAATACTACTCTTTCCTGTTTTTACATTTTTGGCTAGTTGTTGTATAATATATTTCCTGTATACCTTTATCAAGATCTCATCGCACTTATAACATCAATTGCGATGGACTTTATTGTACAAAACTCTATATTGATCTATGGTAATCTCTCTTAACCTATTAGTCTTCTCTGCGTTGGAGAATGAGGTTTGGTACGCTTGACACGAATTATTTTAATATAGAACACTGGTATCGCTCTATCAACGGAGTTATTAGAGAGGATTTGTTGCCTCAGTGGAAGCAGTGAAGATATTTCAAAATTGTTTTCTGAAACCTATTTAATCGATCGTGTGGTCTAAGTAAAAAATTCTCATGTTGACGACAGATGATGGGAGATTCGGAAGGCAGAGTGTTAGGTGTCGGGAGACTGCACTAACTCTCAATTACCTACACTGAAATATCAAAAGTTGGCAAGAATGCTACATCAGTGCCTTGAACTGTCATAGGGCTCATTGTTTCAATTTCAAAGCAATGACTATCAACAGTAATGTAGAAGGTAAAATGCAAACCTGCTGATTATTTTTTTTCACTTAGTTCCGCAGCTCCAACTGTTTTCACCAACATTATACTAAAGAAATCACATTTTTACAAGTTGGACTCTTTGAGTGTTTGATGGGTTAAGAAATGGGCGCTTAAAACTAAAAAATGGAATGAGGTTGATTTATATTTCTAAGCGTGTTTCCAAAATTCGACGTATTGTGAAACTGTTCGATTGGATACTTTATAAAACAAAAACTTGCACTTACAAATCAAAAACCTCACATATAATGACCAAAGATACTAAACGAACCAAGCTTGTTACATGCAGTAAGCTTTCTATTAGTTTGTGGTTTCGCGTTGCCTGCGTAATGTGAAGAGTATATTTATATTTGGTTTTTGAGCATTGTTTCGAAAATAATTTGCATTTGTTGATCTACATTCAGCAGACTTCTTGTAACTGTCACCCGAAGTTTTGTTGTTCTTCACGAGCTATTTCTACTTGAGTTTACGAATTATTCGGGTACGAAACATGAATTCCTAAAACTTGGTTTGTTGTTTTGAGTTCGCCGCAATTTTTGTATTTTTGCTTTATATCTTTTCTTATATGTACTCTAAACGAGATGAGATCAAGCGTTCAATGCAATGAAATAAACTAAAATATATAATGTGAAATTCATTTAACTAAAATATATTGAAAAAATTTAAAATTGAGATCCAAACAAGTACAAGAAAACCTGAAGAAATTTTAGAAATACTTCCCAGATTCATGAAACTTCCTGCTTAGTTTACAAAATATAAAAGAAGTGCCTTTTTGCTGAATGAAAAGCGAGTTAATTATGTGTTTGTCGCTGAAAGAAAAACCCCGCAAAATAGGGACATAACCGTATTTTTAGCTTCTCAGTGGCTGCCACTTTAAAGTTGGTCTAAAGCAAATTTATCACCATTTTATTTTGCGGCTTGTTATTATGCTTATCATATTTGAAAACAAAAGCAGCTTCAAAATGTCCGACGACCATTATACCATTATACACGCAGGTATATTTATATACTACAACTGTATATATATACTATAAGTGTGTGTGTATGTATTTGCATATCCGTTTTGTTTAATTTCGCAAGCAAACTTAGTTAGACAAAGCGGTTGAGCTTGACAAGCTTCTAATCGGGCCGCTTACACAAAATAAAGTCGAGAGCATAACTCCTTTGAGCGCAACTGAAGCAAGCGGCTGAGGACGAGCACAAAACACGGCGACAAAAGCCCGACAACACCGGTGTGAGAGGCCACGCGTGGATGGAAGGAAGGAGCGACAGCAGAAAGGTTAAAGGGCCAGCAGTAGATAAAAGTGATTCATTAAGCGAGAATTAAAATTTAAATAGAATGCAGGTGACAGCAGACACGAGCGATGCGCTGCTGATGAGACCTAAGCAACAACAACAGCAGCAGCGACTTGGATTTGATGGAAGTCGGAAAATCTTGAATGACTGGCGTTTGCTTTAGATTAAGTAAAGGGAGAAGAAAATGAGAGAGAGAGAGAGAGTGAACGAGAAAATTAGTTTGCAAAGATTGTAGGTGGGCAGGTCTAAGGGCAGCGGGGAGTAGACACTTTTGAGCTGTTAAAGTCAGTTTGTTGTGCGGGTTAAGCCGTCAGTTGCCTCACCTGCAGTGACTTTGAAGCATTTTCGTCCTTTGCTCCGTCTTTCGTGTGTTCTGCGCTGCCTTGTAGGCATTATTTGGCGCCTTTTGGAAAGACAGTTAACGACTGCGACGGTTAGTTATTAGCATGCTCTAGGTGTGATAGTCGCACTTGGCATTTGAGGCTTAGCAAAACCGTAAAGGTATGTTTGTAGACTGTAGTCGCACTTTGTAGGCTTGTCCAGCTGCGACACCTAATGATCTGTTTGTTTGACACAGAGCGCACCGCCTGTAACCGCAAAGCAATTGAATTTGCCTACACGTGCGCGCAGATAAAATAATTATAAGTATGAGCAGATGCTTATTATTAATAATAAATTTTTCGCGGCTTTCGACGTACAGATAATATAGAGATATTTTGGGTTAGGAAATTGCTTCTATGTGGATAGAATATTAAAAAGAAAAGTATGAAGTTGATTTTTATGAAATAACATTTCCTTTCAGCCGATATGTAAAATTTGCTTTTTGAGGACCTAAAAATAATCGATATATATACATATATAGGGTTATATATTCGGAAGTATTATACATAAATGATCAGAAGATGGGTTGAAAACGGAATGAATCCGCCCGTTAGTCCATACAGACGATAACTTGAGTCAAAATATAGATAATATTATGATTATAATGAGATTTTCTATAAGTGTTCCTTAGTATTATGAGGAGGTTGGGATGGGCTTAAACGTTATTTAGTACAGAGGATCGCTGTAGAAACTGACACCTGTGGGTTGGAAATTAGCAAACAGTGCGCGTGGCACCGTCGCATTAAAGGTTTATATAGCTATATCAAACATACATACTTGCTGAGGAGGAATCCTTTGGAAACCTGTGGTAATGTGTGAAATCGTATGACAACTACGCCCACTCTGCATATAACGGTTATGCAGAAAATCGGTAAAATAAAATCCGCTTTTGTTGTGAGGAAGTCGATGTCTCTAACCTCAATAGTAGTCTTTTGTTTAAGGTCGACCACCATTGAAGATTCTTGAAGGGTGGTTTTGCGTGCCTCGCAGAAGCTGGCCTTTTTAGTTTTGCTCGGGATCTTGTTTTGTGGATCCCTTTGATCTTAACATCTGCTACCTTTAAGTTCACCTTACTTCGGATATTCTTTAGGACCTCGGAGTAGCTATTGCCTTCTGTTGGCTTGTATATTGTAGGTTTGCACATTTTATTCCAGAAATTGGGACTTCATTCCATGTTTTATAATCAAAATATTTATAACTTGTAAAGCGAAGAGATCAAGAGCATAGTTATAGCAACGAGCTGGTTATGTGATCATATGATCTTAAGTGCATAGAAAAATTAAATTATATCATAACCAGTGTATAATATGCATCAAAATACTTCTTTGCAAGAAATATTACAACGCAGGTCATCTGATTTAATTTACCATTTTATCCAGATCGGTTGTACTGTTTTTGGCCCACGGCTTGCTGGTTAAAACGTATCGTCATTTTGTGTGTCCTTTCGGTGTACCACTTTACGCACACTGCGCCATTTGTCATTCACCGCTGTCTCTTCTGCATCCGTCCACCCAACTGGCTGATAGAACGCAACACTACTACAAACATACACAAGCGTACTACTTATATTTGAACTCATTCCCTCAATCTCCTTCACGAGTATTCCGCTTTCTCTCCCACTTATGTTTAAAAATTCGCCTTTACTCGCATTTAAATGTCACTTTTGCTTCGCATTTTATTTATTTTATTTTATTTGTTGCTTTACTTTCATTTTGCCGTTGTCACTGTCGCTGCTTTGGCTGTGTTCTCCTTTCTGGTCGTTTTCTTTCACTTCTGCAAATCCATTGTTGCCATGTTAGCTGCCTGTTGTTGTTAGGATTGTTGTAGTGGTTTTTGCTGTTGTTGTCGGCGCTGTTTTCGTTTCTTTAATGTGCTGGCTCACAGCGCGCGCGAATGATACAATATTTCAGTGCGTCCCCCCGGGGAGCTCAAAATGCAACTCTGGTGGAACTTTTATTATAATTTTCTTTTGCAAACTATTTTTGTTTTTTTTTTTTGTTTTAATTTCCAACACAGTTGCTCAGACTCTGCTTCTTTCTCTGTGGACATCTTCGCCGCCATTGCTGTGCTGCTGCATTTTCGTAACGGAAAGATCTTAGCGATTTTCGGTTTCATGCATGTGTGGGTGTAAGTAACATAATTAAATATGTATGTGTGTATGGGTGTAAGGATATGCGAGTGTGTTAATATGTGTGCGCTGAACATTCCTTACAATTTTGTGTAAATCTATTTGTAGTGTTGTTGTTGCAATATTCAGTTGATGCAACGGTCTGACGTTGCACTGTTACATTACTGACAGTGTCCACATATGGTGGAAGTGGGAAATGAACAACCGCTGGCACGCATACATGTATGTATAGCAGTATGAGCGACAACAATCAGCAAATGCAATTTGTTTTGGTTAAGTAACAGAAAATAACGAAAAGACACAATAACAACAACAACAATACATCCGAAATTCTTAGCGCGAATAATGTGAATATAAACACAAAACTGATTTCTCTTGTGTGACATACATTCGGTTGCATACTCCCACATATAGTTACATACACCCGAACACCCACAAAGTCCAGAGCCGGACAGTATAGGAGCTTTCAAAAAAGTGCGTTTTTTTTTTGTCAAAGTGCAATAAAGTTTGTCAGCAACTTGCAAAAATTTAAGTCAAATTAGTATCTGATTTATCTGTCTGCGTTAGGAAAGAGGGGTTCTGGGGCCCTGGAAATATCAGAAAAAAAGTACTGATATCCTAAAATAAAGAAATGTTTTAAATTTTTTTAAGTAGTTTTTTTGCAACTTTTTCGGTACTAATTTCCCGAGGATTTTCCTATTTTCACAGTTATTTAACGGCCAATATCAAATATCAAGAACTACATCTATAAGTTATTTTGTTTAACCTTTTCTTGGAGCTATTGCCCTCTTGATTGATAGAATTGAACATACTTTGTCAACAGCTGTGATTACTGACATTCCTACAGCTACCATCAGCGTCAGTATCTGGGTTCTTGGATGGCTTAAATGTAGACAATATACCAATTTTAAGACTTACACTCCATTGCTGGTTATTCATATTGCTGTGCCGCCGAGCCAAAAGCTTACCTCCTAAAGACTGTGAATCATGCTGATCTGCTGGAGGAAGGTAACGTTAAGTTTTTTCGTGAAAAGTTCGAAGCTCAAATTCGAGTTTTACCCTTTAACATGTTCAAACATTATTATAAATTTAAATTTCGAACAGACCTCTCGGTGTTAGCTGGTGAAAACGATTATGAACATTTTTTGATTTCGGATGATCCAGCCCCAACTAATGACGGGCACCACAAACCTACATATTTACGAGACACGTTCGAGTTTTTAAGCATTTCTTGTTCTTGCACGAACGTACCAAACCATTCTGTAGTGAAATTGGTCTAAGTCTGATTTTCGATTTTCCAGTCGGAGATCAACCACGATAACATAATTTTCTCTGATTTTCCCAGCATAATTGAAAGGTTACAAGTCTACCTTCATGGCGATACATCCTGCCATCAAGTTATTTCTTGGTGGTTGCGTTCGCTACATTGTGCTGCTCTGACAGGTTGTGCTTGTGGAGACGGTGCCATTTTATCAACTCGCGTTCACGGTAACTCATTAATTACTCCGCCAATTCTCTAAATGACTTAATCTTGTGTAAAATTCGTTGTAATCACTTTTTTGCACTTTAATTAGCTAAGAAATTTCTCAACTTTCTATTTATATTTGCACGAGTAAATACTTGTCTAACAACTAACTATTTGTTGTTTGTATATATTGTTTTGTAGTTGTTGTTATTTATAAATTTTACGCATTTCTTGCTTTGCAGTACCCATGATGAACCATCACACGATGCCGAAATTCGGCTTTGGCTCGTACAAGAAGACCGGTGTGGGGAGTTTCTATCTGCCAAAGATACTCACCAGTGGCGGTTGTGGCGGAACAAGTGGCAGTGGCGGTTGTGGTGGCGGCAAAGTTGCGCTGGAGCTATCGCATGGCAAGAGCAAACAACTTATTTCACTGCCCTCGGACAAGTTGGACAGTAATAAACGGTACTACGTCACATTCACCGTGAAGGAGTCGGGCGGCGGCGGTGGCGGTGCAGCGGCGATGGGCGCCACAACTGCGGCAGGTTGTAGTGGTGGTAATGGAATGGATAGCGCCGGTATTGCAGCCGATAAACAGGCAACTGGCGGATGTTGCGGTGGCAACGATGCAACCGGAAAGTAAAACAACAAAACAAGCACCCCAGCGCTTGCTGTTCGCTATCTACTTCAGTAGCCACGCACTTCTACATCAGCCGGACAAGTTAATAACAAACGGAAATCAAATGCAATAATGTCGTGTGCACTTCCGCCGCACGCGCGTTGCACGTTGGTGGCTAGCAGCGGAGCGCGTTGAGTAGAAGCATGAGAGAGAGTGATTGCGGTGGCGGGTTGTGTGTGTTGTGCGGGGCGAACATGTCATGCTCGGGAAAGCGCTAAGCGGCGCTGCGTAGAAACTTTATTATTTGATAGCTGCAATCGCGCAACAACACACACATACATAAATATATATATACACATAATACACATAAATATACTTATATATATATATATATATATATGGAAGAACAGGGGGAATGTAGTGAGCAGCGCGGTATTATTGCTTCATTGGTTGCAGTTCAACTTTGGCCAATTTTGTTTTTAGTTCGTTTTATTTTTTTCGATTTTCTACGGTTTGGTTGTTGTTATTGCTGCGCAGTAAAGCATTAATACCCTACCCGATTGTGTTGCAGGTCGATACACAATTACAATTTTCGCCAATTTTGAGTTAAGATCTTTTCACTGCCTATTTTATGTGTGATTATCAATTATTTTACTATAATTTCCATTCATTATACTTTTAAGTGAAATATTATTAAATTGATTGCTTATGATGGCCGACATGTGAGTGAAGTGAGTGGTTTCGACGAAGAATTTATTGTGCTTTGCAAGTCAGAGAGGCAGCACGACCTCAAATAAATATGTGGAACACACTATTATATATATAAAAGTGATAAATTCATTATATATGTTTACTATATATTTTCCGATTTCGCCCTTTGGTTTGGACAAGTCATATAATTTTTGGTGAAAATAATTTTTTCTTTTAACGTTTTGTTTTGAATTATTCTTTAATATATATTTTTCTCAATTTTGCTGAATTTTTCTCAGAGCATATTGTACTTATATGTATATACAAGTACATACCCAGAAGCCAAAATCACAAGTTTATTTTTTTTATTTTTTTATTTTGACTTTTATAAATTTTACGCCACCAAAAACTATTGAAAAATGCCAACAAAGCATTTCACTCATACAAAATGAGTTTGCCACAGCACTTTAGGGTCCACTATGATTTTATTTAGCTCTCTCTTGCTTGGTTGCGCTTAAAAGTTGCAAAATTCTTTTGGTAACTCAGTTAGTTCATTAAGAAGTTGTTGCAGTGCTCGAAGGACAATGCTCTAAAAGTTTTATTTACGCACCGAAATTAAAGCGTGTGGAGTTGGAGCCGGATAACTGTTCGGCTGCTGAGCAAGCCACGATAATTTAATTTTTGAATTTTTGGTGGAATTTCTGGTTTTCAGTTACTTGATTTTTTAGTGTTTATAGATATTTATGTGGTGAATAATTAATCGTGTTTTTTCGCCTAATGGCTGCGCCCTTAAAATATATATTTATATATATTTGGAATGGAAAAACATCTTTCAATACAATTTGTTCGTACTATACCTCGCTTAAGTGTATAGTCTAGTCATTTATTTAATATGTAGATTATCTCTGGAGAAAAAAGTTAGCTAGGTCACTTTTCCAATAAAAAATGTCTTCACAGACTGATGCTAAGTCGAAAGTTTGTTTTGCTTTGAATGACGGGTCCTGATGATAATAATTAATGTAGGTGCAGAAAAGTTGAAATACTCAACGAAAGTATAAAAAAAAAAAAATCCTGCATACAAATGTATAAATATATTATTTCCGTCACAAATGTATATTTATAGCTTTTCCATATTTTTTTAAAACCATTCAAGTAGGTCGAAATTAATTGGCACACCATAAAAAGCACAAAAAAGGCGTGTTTTCAGAAAATAAAATTACCGTATCAATTGTTTTAAAGTTTTAAGTATATATTTATACAATGCTTAGAGATACCAACATAATAAAAATTTTGAAGAAAATATTTTTCGAGTTACCGTCATTTCCGACAGCGCTAAAAAATCCAAAAGATCCAAACGTCATCCACGGTTGCTGTGATTTTGGCGTTCGATATGAATGAAATATAAACAAAAAAATTTCACTACAAGATTTTTTACGTTACGATTATTTTCGTTTGAAAAAAATCAAAAATTTAGAAAGTAGCGTCGTTTTTAAGATATATAACTATATACCATAACTGTTTGCAGTAAAAATTTGATAGCGATTCGCGTAATCATTGCACAGAGAAGTCGAAAATTGTAGTTTGAGAAAAACGCCTTCAAAACTGAACTGATTGAGTTGATGGAACTGAGCGGATTGCATTTTAGATGGCTGTGACTCAAAAACTATTTAAGATATCGACTTAAAATTTTAATATGTTATTTTCAAAGGTATAACTTATTGAAATATTTCACATTAGGGCGTGTGCCTTAAAAAATTTTAAGCACAATGTAACTGTAATATGAAAATAGTTGGCTCTAAAGCGACAACCTTTTGAAGCGTACTGTATTTTCCTCAATTGATATGTCATTGATAAATTGATTGTAATGAAGAATTTTATTACTCATTTTCATTCATCCGCTAAACACGCTGAGCCGACTCCGACCAAATTTGTTTTATTTTCAATACCGGTAAAGTTAGTGAAGCTGTTGGTGCTGTTAAGTGGCATCATGTATAAAGAACTGCAACCAAAGAAGTACTAGATTTAAGCAAATTATCCAACAACAAAAGAAATATATATTAAAATTGACAAACAAAACGCAATAACGGTATAAACTTATATATATATATATATATAAATACTTCTATGAGGATGTGAAATATGAGCGCAAATACTGTAATTAAGTGTAATAACTGCATTTTACTAATACTATTGAAGACAACAATAAAACAATTCATACTTAATTAACAAAGAAGTATTCAATTGAAAAGTGCTGCTAATCGAAAGGAGCAACAGCACAACACAGTTATGTTCTATATGTACCATATATGTAATTGTAACCTTAATGTGAATCATACTTGTAGTTAACTGTAATATTTTACAAATAAAATGAAGATAGTAAAAACAAATTGCCGACACACATACATAAAGGTGCTTTTAAAGTGGGGCGGGGGAGGGTTTAATTTTTCAGTTTACACACACATAGACATGCATATACATGCAAAAATATATATATGCACTACTAGGGTGCCCGATATTTCCCATGTTTGCTTTTTTTTTGCAAACACCTTGTGAAGTTTCAGTTTTTGCCATAAAAAAATTAAAAATTCTACAACGTAAGCAATCTCTTCATTTTACATTCAAACCGTGTCTAGATCATGTTTCTTTTCCCCAGTAATAAGCAAGTAAATCTACAACTTTAAAAAACTGATATTCTAATACAAAAATTTCCGCGCTGCAAAAAAGCTTCAAGCAATTTTTCCACAAAGCTACTCTTTCAAGAGTTATACGCTTTTAAACTTATACAATAAGAGTACAGAGCATTCTTACGGTATACCATGCCGTATGAGCAACTCAGATATTTTAATTCACTTGTGTGAATGCTCAGTACATTTGATTCACTTAACGGAATATTTTGATGAAAAAATCATTCAAACCTTTTTGTATAGCGGAAAACTTTGTATTAGAAAGTAATTCTTTTGTACGTTTATTTGCTTTGGAGATTTAATGCAAAACATCAAAAAATCCTATTTTAAATACTCGTAAATGGGAAAAGTAAATTTAGGCACGGTTTAAATTGAAAATAAATAGCTTGTTTCCGTTGAATAATTTTATTTGGGTCAAAAATTGAAACTTCAGGGGGCGTTTGCAAAAATATAATCAACTTGGGAAGTAACGAACATAAGCATATGTGCTCCTGATCTACCCAATTGAGCACAAATTGGACTAATGCAAATTTATATTTAATTTAATTGTATTTTGTATTACAAATTCGATTGAGAATTTTTTTTACAAAGACACACATATAGACATACGGATATTTCGAAACAAATAAATACACACACTCACACCTAAATGCCAATTTTAGATACTTCAATGATTAAAATGCAGTGGCTTTAGGTGAAATATTTTATTTCCTTTGCCAAACAGACGCACACGCACAAACCTACACTGACACACATGAATGTAAATATATAAAAAAAAAGTATTACCAAAGCAAGTTTGCAATACTATACTTTCAATAAGATTTATTTATATTTTTATTTGTTTATTTTTCTTTTATTTGTTTTTAGTTCGGTATTTTTTTCTTGCTGCTGTTGTTTTTGTTGTGCGACAAGTCACTTTGTTTTGAGTTTTATGCAGATTTTTTATATCTAAATTGAAATCAGAATTTATTGCCGCACGATGGAGCTAGCACAGCGCTGGCGGTGCAATAGAGCCATCATACATTGCTGGCAATCGGGTAGAAAATTTATGTTTTCAAGTTCAGACGATATTTTCAGTTTATTTTGTAATGCAACGCTGACGGCGCGCAGTAAAGAAGCAAAGTAGTGAGGAATAGCGTCTGGAGAAAAAAAAAACAGAATGCGAATAATGTGCAATGCAGAGCAGAAGAATGAGAGAGTTGTATGAAAACAGTGGACTTATGTACTTTTTAGCGGCAGAACTTGCAGCTTTAAACGACTTATGAAAGGTAAGAGACAAGAAATATAGTTAATAACATACATGCATAGTTACAAACTGACTGTATATGTTTTTGCACTTTCCCGGTAAGTTTGATGATTACAGTAGTAGATGAAGCAATTCATTTTGTTTTCATCAATTTTAATTTTTATTCAAAAAATACGCAGTTATATCAGCTGCTTTGCTAAAATAATAATTATCAATTATGTAGTTGTTTATCATATCCTCGCCAAACTCTTTATTAAAATTCCAACTCACTAATTAAGTTATTCATGAAATAAAATTTTCTTTTTAGTCTAAAAAAATTACTCACTCAATTCTGAAAGCCTTAATCGTCCTCCTGTGTTTTTTCACGTATAGCTTAGCGAATACTACTTAATTCACCTAACGTTAAGAGAGCGTTAAGCATTAAGAAAGGATCAACAGGCGGAGAGTGGAGCAGATAGCAGTTGAAAATGAGCGTCGACATTTTAAAGGAGCGTATGAGTTGCAGGATTTTTTACAAACTCAGATAGAAATCTGATCTAGGCTTAAATGTCTCTTGCCCATTTTTATGCGTATAATTTTCGGTTGACCAAAATCAGTTGAAAAGAGTGGAACGTCGGTTGAGCATACTGTCATCCGCTATTTATTTGAAAAACTTACTTAAGAAGGACTTCAATTTGAAGATGAAGAAGACTACAAACATTTCCATTTTACATAAGCCTTGAAAAAATGATGGTAGTAATCTAAGGTGATTTTAAAAATTACAAAAATAAATATTGTATACTCAACATGTAAGATTCGCTTGTGTTTTGCTAGT